ATATATGTTACCTTTCCTGATTGCTTTCCTTTCTTCTGGCTTTACTCTACATCACTCCTCCAGAAAGTGTTGTCCCAGTCAAGCTACAGATGCAGATAAACCTTTTCTTTTAGGTAATAGCTTTAATTTAATGTCCCCTTATAGTTACAGTCTTTCCTTAAGAATAAAATCTTGGCAGCCAGAATTGTACTTGACACTTTTATTCCAGCATATTAGCTGGTGAAAAAGGCAGTTGACTTGTTTTGACCCAAGTGGGCTTGGTTCTAAATGACTAGGAAGGTGGGTGACAAGCAGCTTTTGGTGGCTTGACAGCCAGCTGCAGGATGCCCATTGTGGCAAGGCCCAAGCGGCTGCTGGCAAATGCGCATGGTGAGTTGCATTTGATGGCCTCTTTTCTCCTTCTGTTTTTGAGGATTTTATCAAAGATCACATGGAGAAAATGGTAATGAGAAAAATATTTTTATTCTTATAATTATCATCTTGTCTCCCTTGTCCAGTGCTGTATACTTTTAAAAAACACTCTAAATGAATACAACATTTAGTTATCACAGGAATTTTTTTTAAATCACGATATATAGTATAAATGTTATTTAGAGGTAGTTTTGATTTCTTTAGAAACCTTTGATAACATTTTAGAAATCTAAAGTTTAAAGTGTCTAAACAAATTCTAACATGGAGATGTTATTGGTTTACATGAAGTAATTTTAGTTTTATATTCAACTACTTTTTAATTTCATTCCTTTCAGGCTTAAAACTTGGGCTCTTTTACTTTTCTCGAATTTCCTTATCTAGAATTCTAATGTGACTTTTCCTTCTTAGGATTGTGCCTAGGGCTTTGATTATATGCCATCCTAAATTTAATTTTGTAAGTAATTCAAAGTAGTTTATTTTAATGAATTACAAAGTAAAATGGACATTTTCATTTTTGATGGGAACACTTCAGATTTAGATTTCTGACACTTTGATGTGTTTATGGGTAGGAACCATTTTTATTTTATGTCATTTAGAAGGGTTTATTATTGTTTACATAAGAAAGTATTTAGATACTATTTTATCTTTGTCTTGAAATGTATTTCATATGTTTACGTTTTCTTGTCCACATTTGGAAGTTATAATTTCTCATTCATTCAGTAAACAAGCTTGAAGGATTATTGTGAGCCTCAAACAGTTCTAGGTGCTGGGGATAGAGGACTGAATAAAGCAGAGAAAAGTCTTTGCTCCTATGAATTTGCCTTCTAGGTGGGGTAAGAAAGAAGATACTGCCTAAATATCACACCAGGTATGATGAGTGCCGTAGGGTAAGTGATGTCAGCCTGAGATAGTTTCCATACTGGTCAGAGTAAGCTTCAACATTATTAAGGCTGTAGGTGGAGACCTGGTTGGATGTATGATGGACTTTTTTTTTTTTTTTTCTTTTTTTGCCATACTGGGTATTGAACTGAGGGCCTACACCTTGAACCACTCCACTAGACCGTTTTTTGTGATGGGTTTTTTCGAGATAGGGTCTTGTGAACTATTTGCCTGGGCTGACTTTGAACTGTGATCCTCCTGATCTCTGCCTCCTGAGTAGCCAGGATTACAGGCAAGAGTCACCAGTGCTAGCTATGAGGGACTTTTTGATTGACTGCTGATTATTGGTTGATATAATATGAATGGCTTTCCATGCTTCTTACCTATTTTCTTTCATATGACTTTCAGTTTCACAATTGTGTTTATAACTCTTAATGTGATTCCATTTATTATTGCATAAAGTAATATCTTCCATATACTTTACAATTAAACATTGTACTTCACTTTTTTTTTTTTTTTTGAGTTACTGGGCTTGAACCCAGGGCCACACCTTGATGCACTCCACCAGCCCTTTTTTGTAATGGGTTTTTTTCAAGATAGGGTCTCTCGAACTATTTGCCTGAGCTGGCATCCAACCATGATCCTTCTGATCTCTGTCTCCTAAGTAGCTAGGATTACAGGCATGAGCCACTGGCACCTGGCTATTTCACTTTTTTAAAAGTGGTGTAGCATAATAGCCAAGTTGAGCCATGTGAAGTTGCTGATTATTTGTTTTGGACCTACGAAAGCAATTGCATACTATTTAGTCCAATACTGTGGTACACCAGCTGATAAAAATAAAATGTGAAAATGTCCTAGAAACTGTAAAGGATTCACGTTATACACATTTCCAAGGCGTCAGTTCTGTTTTAGTCATTCTGTTTGCCCTAAATAATTACTAAACTTCATTTTGCTTCATTTAGTCATTTATCAGTGGTAATAATACCACAGTGATTACACGAGGTTGTATATAGAGGAGTACTAGCATATAGTAAGGGCTCAATAAACATTGGCTGTTATTACTGTTGCTACCCTGCAAGGCAGGCATTGGGCCAGAGGCGTGGCTCAAGTAGTGCAGAGCCCACTTAGTAAGTGTGAAGTCATGAGTTCAAACCCAAACAAAGGGCAGGCATTTTCATTGTTTCACAGATGAAACAGTAGTCCACAGAAAACTTGTTTTGTTAGTTTTCCCATGTTTCTACAACTAGAAATCAAGAGCAGGCATTGGTGACTCCAACTGCTAGCATTTTTCTCCTTATACTATAAGATATCCTTAAAAAGAAGGAAGGGAGAGGGGGAGGAAAAACTTTTATACTAATTTACAGAGTACGTTTTCGAATCTCTTCAACATAGTTGAAGAGCAAGTTTTACTTACTTGTGTAGTTACCTGGTTTCCATAGATGCCTTGATATCCATAAAGAAAAATGTTTTAAGCTGATAGAAGTGGCACACATCTGTAATCCCAGCACTCTGGAGTTGGAGGTAGATCTCCACTTTGAGGACAGTGTGGGCTAAGTAAGTTCCAGATCTGGGTGCCTATAGCTCACGCCTCCAATCCTAGCTACATGGGAGGCTGAGATAAGGAGAATCTTGGTTCAAAAGCTAGCCAAGGTAAATAACCAGACCCAGTCTCGAAAAATACCAATTTAAAAATAATTTTTTACAAATTGTTATAATGATTAAAAGCATAAAAATGATGTGCCCAATTCTCCATTCTCTTTGTCTCCCACTTTTTTTTTTTTTTTTTTTTGGGAGGTGGAGCTGGAGTTTGAACTCCGAGCTTGGAGCTTCCAAAGCAGGTGCTGTACCACTTGAGCCATACCTCCAGTCATTTTGCTTTGGTTATTTTGGAGATGGGGGGTCTCTCGAACTGACCTTGAACCTAAATCCTCTCAATCTCAGCCTCCCAAGTAGCTGGGATTGTAGACATGCACCACCTGCACTACTTAAGGGGTTTAATATCCTTTAAAAACTAAGGAAATAATTGGAGATGTGCTTAAAGACTTAGTTTAGTTAACCACTTGCTTATTCATTTATTTAACAGATCTTTATTGAGTGCCAAAATTATCATCGTACTGCCATTCAATACAACCTAAATGCCAGGCGCTGGAGGCTCACGCCTGCAGTCCTAGCTACTGAGGAGGCAGAGCTAGGATTGAGGTTCAAAGCCAGCCCCAGCAAATAGTTCCTTGAGACCCTATCTCAAAAATCCCATCACAAAAATAGGGCTGTTGGAGTGGCTCAAGGTGAAGACCTTGAGTTCAAGCCCCAGTACCACTAAAAAAAAAAAGAAAGAAAGAAACCAACCTAAATGATTTTAAGGGATTAGGAAAGTAATTACATTTTTATAGGGAATGCTCTGTGCCAAAATGTTAGTAACATGGAAGTTTTTACTCTGTATTCAATGAAAAAATATAAGATAACTGGTATGATATAAGCTGACTTTTGTTACAAACAATAAAGCAAAACAAACCATATAAGAATCTGTAATTACGTCCTAGAACCATAATTATACACTAAATTGTTAACTTGGTAATAGCTATCTCAGATGGTGATGATTTGAGGTTTTTTTTTTTGGCCATATTGGAGTTTGAACTCAGGACATCGCACTTGCTAGTCAGCTGCTCTACTGCTTGAGCCATGCCTCCAGCCCTTGTTTCTTTTTGTTTTTCATACCTTGCATTTTCTCAATTACCCAAAAAGAACATGTGTCACTTGTGTGTAAGTATGTTTTTTAGCTGAGGGTATAGCTCAAGTGGTAGAGTACCTGCCTAGCAAGCCCAAGTCCCTGAGTTCAAACCCCAGTGTAAAACACATTTTCGTGCACACACACACTTTTTAAACTAAAGATATAAGATGAGAGTTGCCAGTCATGTTTTCATGCCAAAACAATATAGTAGTACCTGATAAGAATTCAGTAAATGGTGAATGAATGAGAGAACAATTGAATAGCAGAAATACTTAGATCTGGCTCAGTGGCATTTACACTTTCATAACTTTATGCAGAAATAAGTCCTTGGTTTAGATATCTCAGCAGAAAATTCATGCCAGGCATGGTGGTGCAGACTTGTAATCCAGTACTTGGGAGGCTAAGGCAGGAGGATTAAGAGTCCAAGGCCATCCTGGACTACATATGAGAGACCCTGTGTCAACAAACCAAGCCAAAAGAAAAGAAAAGAAAAGAAAAATCATGTATTGAACTGTCCTTCAGAAGCTAGGAAACAGCCTTCACTGAGTGGCTGTTACATAGTGACAGATCCAGCGCGGGGCAACAATGCTGTGTTTCACAGTAGTAGGCCCTGGTAAAAGTGTCCTTTGTGCTGGTCTCAGACTGAGGGGCGGGGCTTGTGCAATTTATGTTGTTTCTCCATAATAGAAATTGAAACAGCCTCTGATCCTGCTATCACATGACAGCTACTTACTTGATTTTTAGTAATTTGGGAGCAGGTGTGCACAAATGATTATTCTGCAGAAAGAGCCAGGGCAGCTGCATTGTGACCCAGTCACCGAGTGGTTGGGCATATGAACTTGCCATCCACCATGTTTCTAAACCAGGTATAGCTTTAGCAACTCACTTGCCTTTTATTGATATATGTTACCACTAATAAGCACCTAAATGTTTGAGAATGCATTTTCTAATTCTTTTTATCATTGTCACTAACATTTATCAGGTACCTACTCCATTCAAGGCACTGCCAGACACAGTAAACCTTAATGTGGTATTCAGCGTGGATAGAGTGCCTTCTTTCACAGGTGGGTCAGCGTTAGCTTTATTATTAGCAGATTAAGTTGCAGTGACAGCTGCGTGGAGGCAACTGAGCTGTGTTTCACGGGTCCTAGACCCCTGTGATTGCTGTGTGGGTGCTCATTGCCCTCTTCCTACACTATGTGCTTCCCCAAGCTGGTGCCTCTGCCTGCAGTGTCCTTCTTTCCCTTGAGCCTGAAGACTGTCTTCTTTTTAATCCTGTCCCAAGTCCTGGCAGTCTGGTCTTCATAGTCTCTTAGCCCTTAGCAATTCTTACTAAATAGGATTTGTTCTTTTTTAGGTGGCAAGCTCTACTCACTTATTAATTCAGCCTTTCAACCTTCACTTAAAACAAAACAAAAAAACCCTTTTATAACCCAGGGTCTTAGGAATTTGTAGGGAATTGCATAGGTAAGGTCTTCTATAAACCGAATTAAAATTTTAATTCTTTTGTCACAGTAGTCACATTGCAGTGTGGTCAGTAGCCACATGTGGTTAGTGGCTATTGTTTTGGACAGTGCAAATTTGGCATGTTTCCATCGTTGCTGAAAGTTCTGTTGGGTGGCTCTAATCTAGAACCTTTAAAAGAGTTGAAGTGTTTTAAAGTATTTGGTGACATAAACTCACCTAACTTCTTTTTCTGTGGAAAGATGTTTATTCCAGCCGAATTTTAAACAACCCTGTGTTCTCTGTGATTGCCTTTTGTTTTTCCCCTTTGGTTGTGGCACCCTCCAGTGTTTCAACTTTGTTATAGCAGTATCATCATGAAATGACCTATCTTGTCATTGATTTGAGTCAAAGAGCATTGAAATATTTTGGAAACCTGCATGTGTTTTTTTTTTTTTTTTTGAAGAAAAAGGACATGTGGGTTTTACCCATCTTTAATAGAATCTGTGATTCAATAAAAGATCAAGAACTGCTCTTGTATAGTCAGAACTCCTAGTGTGATCTATAAGCATTATTTCTACTAGTATTTAAAAAAATAGGGCTGGGGAAGTGACTCAAAGTAGTAGAGCACCTGCATAGCAAGCCTACAAGCATGAGGGCTTGAGTTCAAACTCCAGTACCACCAAATAAATAAATAAGCGAAAAAAAAACAAAAACAAACAAACATAAAACCTTTATAACTTTTGGCATTTCTGTACTGTGCCTGTAAAATAATGTAATAGCACAACATACTTATGTATCACTCAGAATATACCTTGTCCCATTTTAAGCCCATAAAGACAGCGCAGGAATTTCAGGTTGCTAAAAATTCTTTAACTAGAACAGACATCCTTCCACAAAGAGCAATGGTTAGATGATTCTGCTTCACAATAGCAACTCATTTGGTCCTCACGATAATTCTATGAAATGAAACTAAGGTATTAAACTTGTCTAAGGTTGCAGTTAAGAGGCAGAACAGGAATTCAAATCCAGTATTGGAACTCTGGTAGTTGGTTTTTTTTTTTTTTTTTTTTTTGGTACTAGGGTTTGAACTCAGGGCTTTTACCACTTGAACTGCACCTCCAGTCTGTTTTGCTCTGGTTACTTTTGAGATGGGAGTCTCTTGACGTGTTTGCAACTGGGCTGGCCTTGAACCTCTAGTCATTGAATAATATGACCGGTCTTTTTGTAACTGTTGTTAAATAGACGTATTTCTGTAATGTTGGTTTTCGATTCACAGGAATATTAGAATTGTTATTGTTTTGGCAGTTCTGGAGTTTGACTCAGGGCCTCATGCTTGCTAGACAGGGTCTTTTCCACTTGAGCCATGCTCCTAGTCTGGAATGTTAGCATTATTAAGGACCTTACTTAAAGAGTAAGTAAAGTCGCAAACAAATGTTTGTATCTTTTACTTACCTTTCTCATTTCTAGGAATCCCATTTTTCTCTTTGTGAGGCATTTTCTACTCTCTTAACTCTGTGATGTTTTGTTTTGTGCTGAACTTCATCAGTATATGGAAACAGAAACCCTAATTGTGGTCTTGTAAAAATTCAAAAAATGTTCCTAGAATCATCTTTTTTTGGAGTTACTAAAGTTTGAACTTAGGGTCTCACACTTGTCAGGCAGGTACTCTACCACTGGAGCCACTCCAGCCCTTTGTGTGTGCTGGGTATTTTTGAGATTGGGTCTAGGCTGGCCTTGAACCTTGATCTTCCTGATCTCTGCCTCCTGAGTAGCTAGGATTACAGGCGTGAACCACCAGCACTGAGCTTTTTTCTTTCTTTCTTTCTTTTCTTTTTTTTTTTTTTTTGAGAAAGAAAGGGTCTCACTATGTAGCCCACACTGGCCTTGAACTTGAGATCCTCCTCCCTCAGCTTCCTGAGTGCTGTGACTAAAGGCATGTACTACCCATTAGAGTAACTTCTTTACGGAGGTTAAGAAATTCAGACTACTGCTTAGCAGTCTGAGTAATTTCTGATGGGGGTACCTATTTTCTTTTTCTTTGTATCAATCAGGGTGTAGAAAACCATGTGAGGTATTTCAGAAATTTGATTCTAGCCAAGGCACCAGTGGTTCACACCTGTAATTCTTGCTACTCAGGAGGATCGCGGTTTGAAGCCATCCTGGGCAAATAGTTCCTGAGACCGTATCTCAGAAGAAAACCATTACAAAAAAGGGCTGGTAGAATGGCTTAAGTTATAGGCCCTAAATTCTGAAGAAATTTTAAAAAAAAAGAGAGAGGAGGGAAGGGAGGGAGGAAGGAAGGAATTTAATCCTAGGAATTAGTTATGCAGGTGTTGGGAGACTGAAAGAAAAAAAGTAGACACTGAGGTCCTGCAAACAAGAAGCAGCTACCACTTCTAGGGGAACAGAAGAGAAGACTCTAGGACCTCAGAGGGGCCCTAGCTATCTGACCTTTGTGGGATGTCTGGCAATGGTGTTTCAGCACCAGGGGACAAACAAGGGCACAGCTGAAGCTGGAAGATGCAGCTGCCCTCTGTAGCTAGAGCAAGGCTGATAGGAGTGAAAACAGCAAGGAAAGACTTCTCCCCTCCTCTTCCAGTCTCTATGCAGAACTGTAACAGAAAGCTAACAGGCACATTTGGTTGGCTGACTCAACCCAGAGGCAGGGATAGAGCAGCTCAGAACTAGGACCACCAGTCCTCTGTGTGCATGGATGCTAAAAACTGTGGATTGAAAACACTCAGGAAAAAAAAAATTGCATCCATACTGAACATGTGCAGACTTTTTAATTCTCTAAACAATACAGTCTAAAAGTTTTTTAAATAGCATTTTCATTATATTAGGTATTACAAGTAATCTGGAGATGATTTCAAGTATATAGGTTCTAGCTGAGCATAATGGTGCACACCTGTTATCCCAGCACTCAAGAGGCTGAAGCAGAGGATCTCAAGTTCAAGACCAGCCTAGGCTACATAGACCTGTCTCAAAAAAACAAACAAACAAAACATATGTTCTTGCAAATACTACACCATTTGGTGTCCATGAGTAGTTCTGGAATCAATCCTTCATGAATAATGAAAGACAACTAGGTAAAAGATAGGTGTTGGAAATGAAAGAAAAGAGATTGCCAATATATTCTTAAAGAGAAATTATAGAATCTGTTATTATCTGAGTTGAGCCACCAACTACCCCAAGCATTTTATTAAGAAGGAAATGAAGGCAGATTCTATTTATAGAGGCTTCATGGACCTAAGCCCTGCTTTCAGTGAGCTTCCAGTACTGTACATAAAACCCTCTCATCCTTGAGTCATTATGAAGTTGTATGGAAGCTCATTACACATCATATAAAGCATCATTATTAACCAGATTCTGGGGTTATTAGAATTAATGACTTTACACATTTAATCAACATATAGGAATGAAAAATATTATATAATTATATCATATAAAATTCTGTTAGTTTCAGATGTTCCAAACTAAGAAGTTAGTCTTATGACAAGGCTATTTCTAAACTTGAACTTCTCTTGGTTCTTGGCATAAGAAAGGGAGTTGATTTTTCTAGTGACAGTTTACCATAGTATATCATTTAATTTTAATTTTCAAAAGGAATAATTTAGAAAGCATATTATAGCTATTTGGTTTTAGAACGCAGGTTCTTAAAAATCACAGAAATAATTTGATAAAATATCAAATACAGTAGTCCTTTGATGTCCATGGATTCCAAGCAAATTACTCAAATTTACCGATACTGTACCTGTAGCAGGTCTGAGCACCCACAACTTGAAACCACATGAAGTAGGCTCCATCACTGTCACAGAAATTACTGTTGTACACATTGCTACTGTCCACCAAAAACTGGATCTTATTTTATGCTGCCTTTCAACAAATATGAAATTCTTACTTTCTCACTTAAATTAAACACATTACCTGCCCTTTTTGGCCTGGGAGGATAACCCTAACTTTGACCTTGCTTTTTGGGCACCTTTGCTTTTTGGGGAGGCATTTTTCACAAAATTAAGGGCAGGGAAACACTCAGCAGGTAACACAACGATTTAAACACAACTGATAACGTAAGACTGATGAGAGCACCACATCAACTGTGCTGCGCAGTGTGTGCACAGGAGTTTAAAATTTTGCTTTTGAAATTTCTTTGCAATTTTTCTTTTGACCACACTTTATCAAAACTGCATGTAATGAACCTGCAAATAAGGTGGACTTAGTGTAGAAGGATTTAAATAAAAATCAGTACCCCTTTCCCATACTTTTCTACCCCCAGCCTGTTTTTTAATGGCAATTACTTTAACTTTCTGTTTATGATTCAACCATTTTGTTTGTGGTATTATCAAGCACTGTAAAATGTCTATACCCCTCCCTTCCTCCCTCCCTCCCTCCTTCCTTCCTTCCTTCCTTCCTTCCTTCCTTCCTTCCTTCCTTCCTTCCTTCCTTCTTTCCTTCCTCCCTCCCTCCCTCCCTCCCTCCCTCTGTACTAGGGTTTGAACTCAGGACCTACACCTTGAGCCACTCTACCAGTTTTTTTTTTTTTGTGAGGGTTTTTTTAAGATAGGGTCTCACAAACTATTTGTCCAGGCTGGCTTCAAGCCTCTGTCCTTCTGATCTC